GTGCGTGCCACAAAGCTACTGCTGCTAAGCTTAAATATATATTGAGCACAAATAATTAAATTTTAACGCATCTTAGCAGTCAGCATGAAATCTGATAACTAGGCAGGCAAACATTTGAATTGAAAGGAATCTCAATATTTATTGGGCAATTTACATTTCCCTTTAATCACATGAAACCTTCCATGAGAAAACTTACAGCTGCTGCTGAAGGAAGCCCAAGGCTTCATTTATATGCCATGAGTTTGCGTATTGTGATTTGATTTGCTTAAAGTTTCGTTGACTTTTTACAGACTAGTTTCCGCTGCTCGTTACCCGAGTCTTTTTTTTATGTAATCCTTCACGCAACGACTGCTGCAGTTGCGTCTGTGTCTATGACAAGGTAGAGTATCGCGGCTACCTAATCCTTTCCTCCATAATATATGCATGAAAATACCCAGGCACAGCGAATCAGTTAAGCCATGCAGGGAGAATAAGAGATTATGTTCGAATGCTTAAACAGAAAATTATCGTATGAATTACTGTTATTCGTTAAGTAGTTCTTGAGCTGAAATCAATGCTCTCATCGGCTTTTGCCAGTTTTAGTCGGAAAAACACTTGAGTCATTTGAAATTCAAAGCTGAAAACACTTATCAAGCTGTTCATGCCATTTGGACTACTTGCCGATTTATCGAGAAATCGTATCTAATTTTGTGCCTCTTGTAGATTAAATTAATGTCTGCTTATATTTATAGACTTTACTAAAAATATTCGAGTGCTCGTGCACTCATCAATTTTTAGTTAACCCTTGAACTTAATTCCCTTGAAGCAGTGACCCTCAGTCGGGCAGCACCATTTGCATGCCAAGAATAATTACAAATTCATGATTTTTTTTAGGTAGCTTATTATTAATTAAACTTTGCTTGGGTCACTGTTTGAGGAATGTCAAAAATGTTTCCTTTCGCGGGCGATTAAAAAAACACAGGTAAAAATATTATAATCGGGTGCACAAAGCTGCATAATACTCGCTCAAGGAGCAGAGCAAGGGGAGATCTTTGCGGATTCTAGTGCAGCAACTCAAAATGAAAAAGTCTTAAGAGTTTACACATCTTTCCTTAAGGTTAGTATCTCTCTACCTCCTCCTGTTAACTAGTCATAGACTATACCTAAAATCAAATAATTTCGCCCACATTTGGCATGTTCCAAAAATATACTGCCACTATATTAGACAAGGGTGCATTCTACTCAGACTACATTCCGCCAGCGAGCGTAAAAAATTGAAATTCTTGGCGCTTGCAACATGTTCGAGCAGAGCAAACAAGTTGCCTTGCAACATGTTGTGTTTTGGCTGTGGGTGGCGGCAGCTGAGGAGCTTCTTTGACTGCCTTCGCTTGATAAAGGCCAAAGACGAGTTCCGTGGCACAGTTGATAACGCACAGTCGCGCGGTTTGGTCGGCCATTCGATACGGAAATACCTGTGGAAGGGAGTATAAAGAGTTTGTTAAAGTTCGGATTGTGCGGTTGCCCAGCTGCTAATTACATTTTGTCACGCTTGTGCAGCTTTGGGCGAAATTAAAATTATAATATTAGATAAAGAAGAAACAGTTATTAGAATCCTAGGGCTTAGCGCCAACAACTGCCTGACACGACAATATACAGCACAATCGGGTAACATAAGCATTTATTACAATTACATTTAATGCACGCATCACGCATGCTCCCCCGCCCTTTCCTCACATTCTTGGATCGAAATATTAAGCCCATGCCGCCTGTGATGTCCTCCGGGTAACACGAGCTTGCTTATCCTTATGTTCTTTTCGTTTGCTTTGCTTTTGCTTTTTTTTTTTTAGGGTTTTTGGGACACTTTGATTGGACTTTTGCCTCTTAGTTTTTATTTCGCAGCATGCTTATATGCTGGGCTCAGAAAGCCCGCTTTGTGTACTTAAATACCCTCTACATATTTGATGACGTTTCACTTTGATAACTTAAGCACACATTCAGGAAGAGAAGGCAGTTTAAAGTTTTCTCCATAGGCCAAGAAGGGAACAGCAAATTGCCTTGGTAATGAGCCGCAGTCTAGCGTCTCATAACTTTGCCCCATGATGAAATTTAACATTTTAATGAGAAGCTAAAAGAGCTCTGGGGGAGAATCTACTTTATATTAATTCAATTTTTGGCATCTTGAAATTGAATTCAACGAGACAAGCAACTTTTATGGGACAGACATTATAAATGCAATTGCTAATGGTTTCTACTTTTAAAGTTTAACAGTGCCTAATTCATACTCAATATGAAGTGTCACAATGCGAAAATCTTGACTCAGCTGCAAAAAGATCAAGTTGTCAGCTTAAAGACTTGGCTGTGCTGTTAGAAAAGCCGAGCTCTACCGCAAATATGACAGGCTGTAATGGAAGTGGCTCAAGTGGGCCCCAGGAGCTGACAATAACACACAATGAAAGTGAAGTAAGTGAAAGAGAACGAGCGAATGAGGGAGTGAGATAAACGAGGCACTAACTGTTTGCATTCGAACGCTTTTGAATAGCTCAAATGCCTGCTGGGCACATTCTGGGAACGATTTTGCTCAGCTGAGCTGGTTTGAGCTGTTGAACTCACTTATAGATTTGTCTCCTTCTGTAAATTGGTATATGTATATTTTAAAGGCTGCTCTCCATCCTCTGTGTCCATTGTCTCCTTTGTCTGAGCCTATAAAATGTCTACTGCAAATGCAGCCCAATTTCGAAGTCGGTTTACTCTTTCGTTGGCCTTTATTGTAAACAAAGCATATTACACAGAAATAGCATTAGAAGTGTGCTATCTGCTCTTGCTCTTCCTCTTGCTCTGCTCAGTTTTATTTGATAATCTTTTGTGTAGCTCACTCGTGTATACTGAACATTTGCTATTTAAAGAAATTGAAAATAGGGACATTTATTATTAATATATTTTCTTTTGATGCATACGCTGGTATTCCGATATGCGTCAAGTACTTATGCGTGCCTCCATATACGGCGTACTTTTGTTCTTTGATGTGCCAAATCAGTATATCGACGAATACTCGTGTTTCACTTCGCGACATTCAATAATATTCTATAAGCTTTCCAAATATTTACATTCCCAAAATTGTGATGCATGCGGCAAGGGCCGCGAGAAGGGAATTACCTCTGCGTGGGGCGCCTGTGAAAGGACCCTCCATTTGTCTGGAGGCAGGAAGCCCTTTGAGGCGCACAAAAGAACAACATTTTACGCTTTTACATTTAACAACTTTTCACGCAGAGTTTTATGCCCATAAGCCGGACTCGGCAAATGATTATGGGAGGCCTGGCTGGTGGCCTTTAATACGAATTTATATCCATGAAGCAGGCAAACATTTTATGTTAGATTAATTAATATGTTTTGGCAGCGAAGCATTTCGCTTACCTAATTTTTAACTAATTTAAGCCACTTCCTATGGTATACCTAATTGATTACATAATGCGATAATGCTAAACAAAATGTGAACTTAAAGCCACGTTTTCATTGTAATATATAGAGCAATGTTTGACTTTAAAAATGTGAGATGCCCAACAGCAGGCGTAATGAAATTTTATGGCCAGCAGCAAGAGGCAAGGATCAAAGCACACGCAAGCCAACACACACATACACATACACACACGCGTACATAGTGCTTGGGGCTGCGTTCACCTTGTGCTGATAAAATGCTGTATCGAGTTAAATGAGTTAGCTCCTTATAAACCATTCATTGTTGTGCAACACCTTCAGACAGCCAACGTGTGAGGGGGAAGCGGAGGCAGGAGTGAACACACACGTAACTTGCTGAGGAGCACTCAGCTGAGCTGTTGACAATAAGAAGGCTCGGCTGCATTGTGCGAATAGCTGGAAAAGTCAAAGGAAATGTGAGAGATTTTAGGGTTGCGCTTACATTTAATCAATTTCGGCCCGAAATGTCCTTGAGGCCAATCCCTGAGTCCAAGTGAATCCCAGTTATGCGCCGTATGATCTGTGGGCAAAGCACAACATTTCCCGGAATCAAAGCTACAGAATCAACTTAGTGAATGCGGTTCTTCAGTCAAATTACGCTCAGACTTTGCTAACCAGACACACACGCACACCCACACACACACACGCATATATATGCATATGCATGTGTGGGAGTAGCACACCGTAACAAAATGGAGTTTATATGTTTTCATTAAAATTACAAGCAAAATTTTTACAGTGAACCCAGAATAACCACACACACATATAAAATTATATATATATAACATTTTTTTTTTTTTTTTTGAAGCATGCAAGGTAAAGTAAGAAGTTTATATTGGTATATATATATATATGCATATATTATGTATAAATATTTTGCTTGACAAAAAAGCCAACAGATTTGCTCTGGGGTCCATTCGAGCTGCTTTGTTTGTGCGTGTGTGTGTATGTGTGTGTGTGTGTGTGTGTGTGTGTGTGTGTGTGTGTGTGTGTGTGTGTGTGTGGCTAAACATTGCCAAATTTTATTAGAAGTCAGTCAAGTCAAGAGAAGCGTTAACAGCTTTTAATGGCCATCAGTGTCAACTGACCTGAGCTGACGGTTAGCAAAATGTTTTTGAATCCACTGGACTGCACCTGGAGCGCACTTAGAACTTCCCAACACAGGTTAAAACGAAGTGCTCGCTGCAGTCGTTTCAATTATGCAAAATAAACATGTCTGCGCGTGAGCTGACAGCTGACCGTAAGGCATGCGAAGCAGCCCGGATGACTCCCCCTACGGCTCAGCAGCTCCTGCATGAAGAGTATGCAAGAGTCAAATAACATTTTCTGAGCCGCCTCCAATTGACCCAGCTGCCGGCTGCCGTTTAATTTTGTTGATTTGTGTTGATTTGTGAACTTGTTTGCTTTTCATTTCAACTTTGTGTAAACTTCAAGCTGGCTGTCGCTTGAGTTTTCGCATTCCTATTGCAATTCATTCATGGCTGGCAAAACTCCTCTGCAAGTGTCAAATAATTTGTCCATTCAAACTTTTTTATATGCGCAGGCAACAGCGATAATAAAATGGAATCAGATATAATATACGATCAGCATGTGCATGAGGAGCTGCTGCCAGGCGCCGAGGAAGAGGCGGAATTCGGTAAGTGTTAACCCCAAGATTTTTCTCGCATTACTTTTGGTTTGTTTTCATATTTTGGAAGGAGCTTACTAATGGCTATATATTGGAGTTCGTGAGCTTTGCTCATTTATCTCATTTATCAACTTATGACAAGTTTGTTTCTGTTTTTTTCTTATTTGGCTGCTGCTTAGATACATTGGCCATTGGCCTTTGGCCTTTGCAGTAAGCCAGTAATCGCTCTTTAAACATCACTTACGATTCCCTAAGCCTGCTCCAAATCGAATTCATTTCCATTATTGAAGTGATGATGAGCTCTTCTCCTGCAAGTGCCAATCGATGGAGCAGTTCCATAATTAAATTGATGACTGCTGGATAACCCACTGCTGTTGACATTTTCCTTATGCGTTTTCCTTCTTCTCCCTCTTTCGCGTACGCGTTCGCTTTCACACTGCTCATTTTTCATTTTGCGTTTCGCTTTGCCTTTTGCCTCAGAACGTCTTTATGCGGCGCCCGCGGAAATTGTGGCTCTACTCTCCATCTTCTATGGCGGCATTAGCATTTTAGCCGTGATTGGCAACACGCTGGTTATTTGGGTGGTGGCAACCACTCGACAGATGCGCACCGTCACCAATATGTACATTGCGAATTTGGCGTTTGCGGATGTCATTATTGGACTATTCAGCATACCGTTTCAGGTGAGTTTCAGGTAAATGCAGTTTGCAAATTAATTTTACCCCCGCACACACGCAAATACTTTTCGTGTATTCTAATTATGCAAATATTGACCGACAATGGCTACCTTTTCAGACCGGACGCGTTGGCCAATTAGCCATGGCCGGCAAACATTTTCATTATGGCCATTGCAGTTTTAAATGTTGCGTAGCAATAATTAAACATTGCGTATACGCAATGCATACCCATGCAGAGATGCTAAATAAATTGAGTTTCGCTGATTTTCGACTGGCTGTTAACACTTTGTGCACATAAATCAGTTTAATGGCATTAGCCCAGTTTCCAGTTTCATTTTCGATTGCTGCTGCTGCTGCTGCGTTAATATTCCCTTTATGACCTCACACAGCCGCAAACATCGATTTCACTATAATCGAACATCAATTTAATTTCCGGCGCTTAAACACGCCGCTTCAACATTATTGAGATTAGAATTTTGACAGTTTCGCACGAAACCAGCTGCCAGTCCATTTCCTCCTCCCCCCTCGCCCAAAAATATACTTTGTATAATGGAATAAACAGTTTCGTATCCAGTCATAATGGAATTAGCATTTCGTGTCCAGACACAATTTGCTTGAAAATCCTAAGCATAACTCAATTTCCAGCCAATTATTTCGCAATTAAATTTATGTTAAGTAGTTGGAAGAGAAAATTCTGTCGGCCATTTTAGTATCAAAGCCAAGGCTTGCCTTAAATAATTTAATTGTTCTCCTGCGTCCGATTTGTAATTACATGCAAAGAGCGGACAACTTGAGAAATCTTCCTAAATAAATAGCATCTCATTCTTCTGCGTTTCGTCCAAATGTTTTCAATTAAGCTGACAGACACTTAATCTTCACGATACACACACACACACACACACACACATGTATATATAAATATTGCAGTATGTTTTTCTTACATGACCACTTAAATGTCAGCCGCTGTCATTTGCCTACCAAGCTGTAAGCCCTATATTATATGGATTTAATTGCTTGGGCAAAGCCAGACAGACAGACAGCCAGCCAGACAGACACAGACACATTACAAAGCAAAGTAATCAGGACATGAATGCACGCATTTTAATTGTTTATTCTCGGACATGCTCGGCCAGTGCTTCAATTATGATATTTTTACCGCCTCTTGGCTATTTTAATAGGCCCAATTGGCTTAATAACATATTAAATATTTTATGTCCTTCGCTTATTTCAGTTCCAAGCTGCGCTGCTCCAACGCTGGAATCTGCCGTATTTCATGTGCGGCTTCTGCCCGTTCGTGCAGGCGCTCAGCGTGAACGTCTCCGTGTTCACATTGACTGCGATTGCCATCGATCGACATCGGGCCATAATTAATCCATTACGGTAAGACAGATGAGTTCATAACTGCTGCGTATTCAATTTAATGTGCTTGTATGGGTTGTATTGAAAAGAACTGAAACTCATAGCTTCTATTAGATAAGAGCATACGAATGCTTATAGATAAATGGTAGCCTTACGTATTTTAGATAAATTATTCATCAATTAGTCAGTTTTAGTTAACTATAAGCAGCCAAATATCACCAGAAATAAGCAAATGCCAGGAATTCATATAAACAAATTTGTTTCAATGCTATACGAAAATCTTTTGAGAGTCATAAAGATTTTTTTATTCATTCGAAGTGTAGCTTATTAAAAAGTTTATACACTCGTCATGGAAACAGATTTTGTTTTTGTTTTTTTTTTAACAATGGTTTATGTGAAAATAGTCAATCAATTAAGAAACTTTAGCTAGATATGTCCGCCTTTTATCTTGACTATGGCCTGCAGACTATAGAGCAAATGAGCCACAACTGTGCCTTGGCCCCTTACGGAAAATACGTAACGAAAAATCAAATTTTAAAATTATAGTCAAGCCTAGAGGCAGCTCAAGTGCACAACTAATTTAGGAAGCAATTCAACTGTTAAGAAAATATTATCAAGAATTCAACACAGCATGTTTGGCATTTTCAAAGTTTGTATACAAAAAGTTGCGTACCTTTTGAGATAGCAGCAGCAGCAGCTCATCTGCATATTCAGGGACATCCCGTAGTCTGGCATGCCCGCACTGGAGCACTCTAACTTATGAAAATAAAAACATGTTTTCGCATTTGAGCAGCGCACGTCCCAGCAAGTTCATATCGAAATTCATAATTGGAGGCATTTGGCTGCTGGCGCTGCTCTTCGCCGCGCCGTTCCCCATCGCGTTTCGTGTGGAGGAGATCACGGACCGTTTTCGTGGTATGTGAACAGAAATATTCGCAGAGCCTGTAACATCTTAATTAAACTAAACACATTCCGTGTGATTTCCGTTTGGCAGAGAACGACGTGTACTTCAATTTGACTCGGCCGTTCTGCATGAACAAGAATCTGTCTGACGAGCAGCTGAAGGCCTATCGATATGCTCTGGTCTTTGTGCAGTATCTGGTGCCGTTTTGCGTGATTAGTTTCGTCTACATACAAATGGCGGTTCGCCTGTGGGGCACACACGCGCCTGGCAACGCACAGGACTCGCGTGACATAACGCTGCTGAAGAACAAAAAGAAGGTCAGAGCAGAGGGGAGGGGAGCACACTCCATTTGATTATGAATATAATCTTATGCGATTTCATTACAGGTCATTAAAATGCTGATTATCGTCGTGGTTATCTTCGGACTGTGCTGGCTGCCGCTGCAGCTCTATAATATATTATATGTCACAATACCGGAAATCAATGACTATCACTTCATTAGCATCGTCTGGTTCTGCTGCGACTGGCTGGCCATGAGCAACAGCTGCTACAATCCCTTCATATACGGCATCTACAATGTGAGTACTAAGTGCTTTCCTCTCTGATTGTCCATAAGCCGATAGACTTAGGCAATCGGGGAAGTAAAGTGAATGCCAGCTATAAACTATGATGACAGCTGAATATCACTTCAATTTAGCATTTAGTTAAACGAAGTTAGCTGTTTTCGGTATTTCAAGAGCCAAGACAACCTCAGCTTAAATGACAAATGTTTATTTTCTAGGAAATTTGAAAACAATGCCACGGTTATAATGGACTTTATATACATTTGCTTAAGCTCTGCCCACACAATTTAATTAATGAAACGTTTCGCAGAGAAAAACATAAAAAACACCTACGACCACGACTGCCAGGATGGCAGACGCACAAATAAGGCAAATCTCTCAAATATAAGCAAATATTTTATTTATTTAGTGAAGTGGGTTGGGGGACGTGACTGAAAATCAATAGGGAAGGCAACAAGCAAGCAAATGTGCCCAACAAGTTTTTGCTCTACTTGGGCTTGTTTGTTGTTCACGTGTGTGTTCACTTGAGGCAAAACTTTTTAGACAACTTCCGAAAAGGGAAAGTGCCAAGGCGCTGAGCAGGAGACAAGTCTTGCAAATTAGGCAATGAAGCAGAGGTTAGAGCGGTTGCTTCATAAAAGCCAGCTGGCACACCATAAGCAATCAAATCTGGGCGAAATAATAATAAGTAATTTTATGATTGAGCCGTGTTTTGGTGCTCAAATTATGGTATTCCTGGGACCGACAGGTAAAACCCATTCTCAGAATTTAGAATTCATTTCGACTACTAAATTATGAAATTTACGAGTCATTTGGCCGTATAATTTGTAACGGGAGAGTGGAAAATTTAAATATGAAATTTACGTTTCTAGTATTTTTGTTTTTGTTTTTGTTAAATACTGAGCTAAAAACCTATATCTATATTTAAAAATAATAACAAAAATAATTTAGGTATGGAAAACAAATTTTAATAATAAAATAAAAAATACAAATTAATTTAAAACCATATAGAATTTCCTAAAAAACAATTTAATTTTTAAATGTTATTTATTTTTATAACAACTGAATTTAACTTTGAAAATTACAAAATTTGCGGAGGCTGGCTTATGTTCTAAAATTTTGTTTATTAAAAAATACCAGCAGAACAATTATTTTCATGTTGCCCCCTTTATTTACAGGAAAAATTCAAACGGGAATTTAACAAGCGCTTTTCGGCGTGCTTCTGCAAATTCAAGACCAGCCTGGAGCCGCATGAGCGCACCTTTTCGATGCACACGCGTGCCAGCTCCATCCGCTCCACCTACGCCAACTCATCGATGCGCATACGCAGCAATTTCTTTGGCGCACGGAATGCTGGCGGCAATGGCAAGGGCGGCATGAGTTTCGCCCGAACTGCTTATCAGGCCAATTTCAATGGCAACGGCCATGGGCAGGGGCATGGCAATGCTAACGGCGGGGGAGGGGCCGGTGGCGGCAGCACCAGTAGCTACAACAACAATGGCCATCAAACTGTGGTGACATTTGCGGGCAGCGAAACGACAATGGGCCCCTGGCGACGTAATCACTTCAAACCGCTGCATCCGAATGTGGTTGAGTGCGAGGATGATTTGGCACTGATGGAGCTGCCCTCCACCAGCGAGGAGCTGCCGTCCAGCATGGGCGGCGGCGCAGCGAATGGAGCGGGCGCGCAGCTGGCGCTGTTTAAGGCCGCATCCCGAGAAAGTTTTAGTTGCATTTGCGAACAGGAATTCGGTAGTCGGACAGAATGTGACGGAACCTGCATACTGAGTGAAGTATCCCGGGTGCAGCAGCCGGCAGCGGGTGGCGGCGGCAGCGGCTCGGAGCCCGTAAGCGAATCCTTGTGGCAGCCCCTCTAAATACGCCGCAAATACGGCGTATTTCTCTGTGATTTCGAAATAATGAATTGTGATTGCAAACTGAATGTTGTTGTTGTTAAATGCGAGCACCGAACAATATGTTTACATAAGTCTATAGAGTAGAATATGTGTGTGTGTGTGTGGAGTATTCCTAGCTGCAAGCCATGTACAGTATTATTATAGAGACTATTGTCAGTGTGTGGGGGCCACGGAATCGCGCAGAGACACAGGAGAAACACAAAGTGGTAAGCCCTAAATTGAATATGAAATTGAGATAATCAATTTCAATATCCTGCCAAAGGATAAAAGTCACAAATGTACTATATATATACATAAATAAATATTCGATAGTGAAAAAGTGTTGGAATCCGTTTAGAAATAACTGTTATTTCCATACACTCGCTACATTTGCATTTCATTTGTTATTTTTTGCCCATCTAACTATTTGTAAGCGCATTAAGCCATTTACTCCAATTAATAGTCTCATGAAATCAATTAACTAGCGTTAAATGATAAATTATTGAATTAGTCTTTAAATAATACTATCAATACAAATATTTCTATGTATTTCTGTAATATAGATGTGCACGTTTTATGGCATGAAAAGGCTAATTAATGTAATTATCTTATTGAATTATCAATAATAAAAAAATAAAAAAAATAAACATACTAAAATACAATAAATAAAAACATTTCGTATCATTAAACATTTCTTTCTATTCAGCTTTTCAGTTATGGTCAGTTAATTACCGCACAATTATTGAAATCACATCAATAAATTACTTTGTATAAATTAAATTAATTCACTGAGCCACAAATTTCCAAGCGATTTACTTTGCACAAACGGTAACAGTAAATTTTGAAATTTGAAAATTAAATTTATAAATTTATAGCAAGTGCCAAAGCTTTTTGCTATAAGAAACGCAGACTTATACTCGAAGTTGTTTTGCTTAAGTTGAAAGCTTTGCGGTTAAGTTAAGACTCAAGCTTTTTTATAAGCATATCGCGTACGCAAACCGGAGATTGATAGGAGCGGAAAAGCTTAAGACACCAACGGCAAAGCTTTGCGAGCAAAGTAGCCAGCAAAGCTTCGACCCCCACAGGGTGATTCAAGTTATACTTGAGCAGATGCAAGACTTAAGCTATACTGTTTAACAGAGATATGTTTTCTTTCATATCATGGAGTAATTACCACAGATGGAGAAAAAGAGTACGAAGGTTGGGTATAAGACTGAAGCGTAGCTGTCGCAGACCTTTAAATAGGACGCAGCCCCAGCTCAAACTCGACTTCGAATCCCACTCAAACTAAAGGTCAGACCTCTTTTAAAAGGAGTATATTTGGCTGCTATATTGCTATATTGCTTTTCTGTCTGTAAAAAAAAATACCAAATTAAATATACTGCTGCTGATGATCTACTTCTCTAACTTTGCTTTTTGGGGAATATTTTCCTTTTAAAATTAAATTTAGATCATGTAATTCATATACAAAGGTCGCGTGTGCTATGATTAAACTACCCTAATCGCCGGGCAAACAAAGCGAGATATTCTGGTTGACAAACACTAACAAACTATGACAGCAACAGCAACAACAACAACAACAACATGAGCAACAACAGTGGCACGCAATAGTTGGCATATGTGGTTCTAGTTCGTTTCTTTTTATGCCACATGCAACCAAGCAACATATGGTGCACTCTAAGGCGCACACACACAGACATAGACCCACGCACACAGTAAGCGTTAGATATACACTGTACAGCACGCAATGAACTGACTGACTGACTGGATGTGGACATGTATGTACATGCATATGCCGGCCGTGGCAGCATTTAAGCTTACACTCTCGCTCTCACCGAGGCACACACACAGACACACACTGTTGGAAACACGCATGCAACGTTTATTTTCATATAGATGGACACTTGACTGCATGAGCGCAGTGAGCAGTGAGTGTCCTGGCAGCAGGAAGAAGGCCGCATTGGCTGTTGATAATTGAATAATTAACAATGTTGAAAATGGCTGAAAGGGCGTCTAACGAGAGCGGAGTAGGGAGGGCTAACGCAAGGGTAAGTTGCTTTAACTGTCAGTGCTAATGTATGCATGTGCATGTGTGTGTGCATGTGTGTGTGTGTGTGAACAGTGCAGGTCAGCAGGTCAACTGCAACCGCAATGTCAGCCAGAGACCTCAACAGCATTAAGCTGAATAACTCATACACAGACTTACGCACACACACACACATGCACACATGCACACTCACAGCAATAAGTTATACATCAAATATAATTGAGTTTTAGTAAATAATTGACATACGATGGGAAAATCTTAAAGGCGCAGCGACTGCCAGTTATTGATTGACATCCGCTTCCATATCTATCTATATA